TAGTGAAGAAGCAATCTTGTAGATCAATGGCCATCCTTTAGGAATCAGGGAAGGCAAAGGCACTCCAAGGTGTAGAGAGCCCATTGGCTGAATTACTTTATTAATGGCTCTCAGGTCTGTCAGCATCCTCCATTTACCGGACTTCCTTTGGATAACAAATTCAGGAGAATTCCAAGGGCTGGTAGAATCTTCTATATGCCCAGCATGTAGCTGTTCCTGAACTAGCTTTTCTAAAGCCTCTAGCATCTCAGATGTCATAGGCCATGGTCCTACCCAGACAGGTCCATCTGTAAACCATTTTAAAGGTAGAGCTTTTGGTTCCTCTGTAGGTTTAGCATTTGTACTTTGTTTATGTGTAGCCTGGATGGTTGGTATCTGTTTTCCATAGTGCCTTACAATATTTTGTCTACCATCTAGAGTTTGTATATGATTTGCCTCTGATACTGGTGGAATGTTAATCTGGGCATTCCACTGCTGTAAAAGGTACACATGACTCGAGAATTTTATTGTGATACTTGCTACAGATGGCTTTAACCATCCTGTCTTTCCCTCCTGTCCTATGCAGACAACAACCTCACACTTTGGTGTACTTTAGATAAAGTTCCAATTCCTAAAAATTGAACATTCACCTCTTGTAGGTGCCATCTCTGAGGCCAGGACTTTTGGGTTATAGTAGTCATGTTATGGCCCCCATGAAGTTTCCCGATTGTAGTTTGTTTCCTTGTATGTCTCTGGTCCATCTACATTCATTGGTTCAGTGAATGCCCTTGCCTACATAATCCAGGAGGCAGAAGCCTTCTATGTGAGACATTTTTGGTATTTCCTTGCTTACAATTCGTCTAATATGTATTATTGTGCCACAGTTTAAACATCTAGTATCCTGATGCCTTCTCAACCCTCCAGGGATTGCTCTTTTTACCCAAGTTCCTGTTCCATTACAGTTAGAGCATCTGGCCTCTTGGTGTCTTTTTTGAACTTGGGGGTTTGTTTCTTATTCCAAGCTTCTGTGTCATCACCTTTAAGACATTTAGCCTCTTGGTGTCTTTTTAAACCTTTTGAGATCGCCTCTCTTACCCAAGCTTCTGTATCTTGGACATTATCCTCAAGATAAGTTGTATGCAAGACCCACTGTTCCAGTGGTACTGATCTGATCTTTAAAGGGAAAGTATCCTTTTGCATAGTGTATTCACATTTTCATAAGCTAGAGATTGTACGAGAATTTTTTCTAGAGTCTAAATCTGCTACCTGTAACTCTACTGCCCTGGATAGTCTTTGTAAAAAGCTAGTGAACTGTTCTGTCAGTCCCTTTCTAGGGGTTTTTAGTATAGGGTTCTACTCTTTCTTCTGGTTCACAATCCTTGTCCCATTCCTTTAAGGCTGCTGTCCTGCATAAGGACAATATGTGCTCACCATATGTAGCCTGAGCTTGTGGGTCAGCATAAAGATCCTCAACAAGAATCTTATTTTGGGGACACAACCTTTCTTTAAGCCTTGAGACTCAAGGGCTTTTGCTTCCTCCCTCCATAAAGCCCTCCACTGTATTTGAGACAAATTTTCAAGTAGCGCTGATATTAGGCATTCCTAATCTATGTGCTTTACTCTATTTTAAAAGGTGCCCAAGAATTTAATAATTCTTTGGCATAAGGGCTAAGGAGACCATATGAGACAACAGCCTCCTTAATTCCTTTCTAGTCTTTTAGTTTTATCGGTTCCCATTGACATTGCCATTTGGGTATTTCTTAGATGGCACATTTTCTGATGTATTCACTGGGAAGACCAGTGATGAGTGCATAACAATCTTAGGAAGGTTTTCCTGATGTTTTATTGGAATAGGTGCATCGGATTGGGAGGAATCCAATTTGAAGTCATCCAAGGCTTGTAGCCTGGCAACCACTGTCTCCTTTAGAGATTGAATCTCGTGAATCATATAAGAGTCTCAGGATTTCATAGATTTGTTAATTTTTGTTGTTTCTTCATTTCCATATCTTTATAAACTGTTACTATCCTCATCCTTAGATAGTATCTGAATGGCATATAAATTGCCTTCTAAATATGCAATCCTAGACTCCAGGATTTGGCCTGTGGCAGTAGATTCATCAGACATGGAGCAAATTATGTGTGCCAGTGTGCTAGTCCTGTCCTGGTTCTTAGCTACCTTTCCATTTAAGGCATCAGTCATGGAACAAATTTTGCTTTCTCTTTTGCCATGAGTTTGTTCTACCTTTGTTAGTAATGTAGTATGGCCAGATTCAGCATAATCAACTTCTTTATGTAAACGTTTTATGTCTTTCATTTCAGAGATCATGTTTTCCTGGTTGACTTTTATAACTTGCATCCAACTTTCTAAGCTGCCTACAATTTGTACAGGTTCTTTGTCCTTTTCCCTGTGTCTCAGTTCTCTGGTTGCAGATATAACGTGAGCTATGAAGCTGATCACAAACATAATATATAGGTATATTATTGGCAAGTCATAGGCTACTCTAACATCGTATTCAAGTAAGAAGCAAGAATATTCTCAATTGTCTGCATTGTCATATTTTCTGCCACAATGTGAGTTTACCTGTACCAGTTTCCTTCCAGTCGCAGTAACTGGTTTTGGCAGGCAGGTGGCAGAGTTGTACAGTAGGACATCACAGTCCAATATGGTTTATTGTTGCCTCAATGCTATCTGTAAATTCTCAAGGTGGCTACCGAGATTAAATGGGGCATGATTTTATTAACAAAAAGTTTTTTGGAAACCAGAAAGTTGGTAGCCAGTTCCGGGCATCAATCGGTGTCCAGCGCTATGCAGAAGCCTGCTTGGCAGTGGTGGCTATGGCTGCAGCAGCTATACGGAATGGGAGGCACCTCGGGCTGGGAAAACCTGTGGAAGCACAGCTGACAGAAGCCACACTAAGGCTGGGAGATAGACCCGAGGAGGTGGCAGTGGCAGTGGCAGTGGCAGTGGCAGCGGCGGGTGTCCTTGTTTCCTCTGGGAACCTCTGGTTTGGAGACCTGTGGAAAAAACACTTGGTGTGGCTGATAAGGAACGAGGGAGTGAAACGGATAGGAACACTGGGCATCCTGGCTGAGAAGGGCTCTGATCCGGGAAAGGAAAGGGGCCTGGGGTGAACCCTCTTTCTGACACCAGATATTAATGATTACAAAGTGGAGACAGAGATAGGTTAATAACTAGTAGTTTATTAGGGGAAAATACCCACACAAGGGAACCAGTGACCAGGTTTGCACCTGAGCAGTACGGATCTAGAAATGCTTCCCAGTCAGCTCAGCCAAGCAAGAGAGCGCCTCATGCTTGCCTCTCTGCTTCTTTGCTTCTTAAAAGCCTATAATCAGGGTTTCTCCCTACATGGTTCTTTCAAGGGATTTTTCTTCTTGAAAGAGAATTTCTAGAAAGATTGATTTATTTATGTGTGTGCTCATGTGCACACTATGCACGTCAGAGCATTATGTGAACTGTGAGGGCTAAAGTTATGTTTGAAGTTTACATTATTGTGCTTTAGAGATCTATAACAAAAGTGCTTCTAACCTGTAAGCCCCGCTTGCCCAAGGACAGAGAACTTGCAGAGACAGTTGGGGCTGTTGTTCCTGTCAGATAACAAGCCATGTGATCTCACTTCAGTAAACAAGGCTGGTTTCCCCAACTGCACAGGATGTGCTTGGTCACATGTAGGTGGGAAGTATGCAGGCAGGAAGTAAATCAGGATGTGTGCTTGCCCCTGATTGGATGAAGGAGGGAAGAAGGGTTTTGCCATTATAAGCACCTGACTAATCTAACTCGGTGACTCACCTAGCTATCAGGTATGGACCTGGCCAGGGTTCATCTTCCTGGCCAGTACTAAATAAAACTTGCTTTAATTAGGCAATCATGAATTTGGTCGTTCTTCTCACAATTTTTACATTGAACAGACCCACATGTTTCCATGGCTTGCAGAGGTCAGAAGTGGGTGTTGGATCCCTTGGACCTGGAGTCTTATTGGAAACTACTTGCAAAAGCAGCAAGTGCTCTAACTGCTGAGCTATCTCTGCAGCCCTTAGAAGAATAATGTTCTTCTAGTTACCTTAGAGTTTACTGAAACTAAGGAAAAGGTCATGTTTTTGTGCAATACCTACTTGGTTCTTTAAATAACGATTATGGCACACAGCAGAATTAAAGAATGATGCCAGTGTGATTTATACAAAACATCCACATTTTCGGTTGCATATAATTAAACATCTCACTTTTCAAAATACTGTAATAGCCAATATTTAGAGGGATGCCTTTATGTGGATAAAATGAAAGTCATTTTCAGAAGAGTAAATCCTATTTGAACAGCTTGTAAACCAAATTATTGGATGGGTAATGATTATCAAAATCACTCTGCGTAGCAGAGAGAAAAACGGCCCATCATAACTATAATTTTGTAGCCACTCCATTTGTAGACGGGACAAAGGTGTAACAACTTGATCTGGCTCCTTACCAAAAGCCTGCAAAGCAATCTTTTGCTCTTTAAACAGGAGTGCAATTATAGCTTTGGGATAGGATACCACTGATTTAGACGGGGAGGCCAGAGAATGAACCCAAAGAATAGGACTCTCTTGCCAAATACTCCTGTAGGAGCATGAGCAGAACAAAACACTAATAATTTTAAAGGGTGGGCATAATCTATATAATCCAAATGACCTCATTTTAAGGCATTTTTTCAATCAAATGAATGCACTCCTGTCCTGCTGTAGTAAGGACTCAATGAGAGTTGGAAACTGATTCACCTTGTAGTATATCAGAGAAAGGTTTAAGTTGCCCAGTAGTAATTTTTTAAACTAGGTCTGGTCCAATTAATATTGTGGTTTTCCAGGGAGAGGTAAAAGGGTTAATGTGACCAGAATTGAGTTGTTCCTGAACCAGGGCATGAGCAGCCTCCAACTTTATTTTAGAGAGGGGTCATTGTTCTACCCAAACACGTTCATCATTTTTCCAGGTGATAGGAATTGGAGGGATATGAGGCTGTGCAACAATGGCCCCCTTAAAAATAACCCAATTCTCTCCCATTTCCAGGGGCCCTCTGCACCAAAGGTTTATCCAACATGGGCAGGGGGTCACTTGTAAATCTTCCCAATCCCTTTTCCTGGCCTTGCTCCCTAAGTATGTGCTGTACAGGATTTGTGGCCTGTACGGTGTCCATGGCTTCTAGGACATCTCTGCCCTACAAATTAATCAGGATGTGAGGCAGAATGAAGACTTGAAATATACCAGAGTGTCCCTCATCATTCCTTCCTAGTTAGCAGACATGAACTTTTACTAGGTGACTGAGCCATAACTATACCCTGCAATCTGATTCTTACAGGGGCCAAGCCTTAATTTCTTTAGAATACAACATATGTCCCAAACAATTTTTGGGATTTTCTTAAAGTTTCTGAGCAGTCTTTTCCAATCTAACCTTCGAAGCTCTGATTAGCTGACATGGCCTCCTATGCATCTTGGCTGACATGGCCTAATTTGCATCTAGGCTGACACCATTCCAGGTTGTGTATCTAACAGGCAGTGTCTACTGAGGCTTTTTCTTAAAAACTTTTTTCAAATCATGTACCAACTTTTACTTTCTATATTTTCTTTTTTAAGCAGAAAAAAATGTAGGAGTATCTCCATATCCTCTTGAAATACCCGCGAAGAGGTACTTTCGTAGAAGGAGACCCGCACCCAGGAATCAGGAAAACCACGAACTTTGGATGCAAAAGCAAGAGGTTTTATTGGTGGCGCGCGTACCCGGGGACTTAGCTTCTGTTAGGCCAAGCCCCGAGCCCCGGAAGGGGCGTCCTTTTATAGGGGAAAAAGGCACAGTAGTAGTCAGGCGAAACGGCCTTTATCTTCTTCCGTGTCCAGATGGCTGACCTTGGGACGGAGCGATCCGGCGGGGCCGGGGCCGGCCTTGTGCGGCGGCGGGGAAGTGGGAGCCGGCAGCTGTGGGGATCAAGGGTCGGGGAGTGCAGGGGAGGATGTATTCCCCGCGCGCTCCGCCAGCTGCCGACCGGAGGAGGAGGCAAACTTAAAAGAAAAAGCTAAGGGCGGGGGTCTTTCA